TGTTCAAAAGGAAAAATAGAGAGTGGAGAAGGAAGGAAAAAGAGGAAAAAAATTGATGATAATTGGGACATTTTCAGATTACAGTTTGGACATTGTCAGAATGAATTGCATAGTTTTTCCCTCCTCTCCCTCTTTTGCCCTTCCTCTCTCCAATTTCTATGTTTCCACCTGCTTTTATTTCTTATCGGTTTCATTATCGGTGACGAAAAAAGTGATACTGTTGTATTGTTTCTGCTATGTATACTAATTTGTGGAAACTCGAGATTGCTTTGTTTTTCTCTCATCTTTAGTAATCAGTTTTTTATTGTGTGGTTTAGTTCGCTAGTTAGTCCGCACTTCTGCTGTTTTGTTTTTGTTGTTCCTTTCTATTCATTCCAAAATGTAGTAAAAAAGAAGCTGAATGATAAGTATTGTTTTTTTTTATATGGCAGTTCGCTGAAAACAGCACTTCTTTTTTCTCTTCTTACTTTTTAATAATACTTTAGTTGGTTGATGAGGAATGAAGGAGCAACAGTATTAATAAAGTTTTGATGCAGGTTTTTAGTTTTTCTATTTGAAAAAAAAAATTTTTTTTTCAGTTGTAATGCCAGCGTTGGCTATGTCTCCAGTGATAAGTGGAACCAGTAGCGGCACACCAAGTGACGAAGATTTCGTTAGTGGATCTTCTGCTGATGACCAGTCTTATATTGATCGCCTGACTGTTGATATTAGTGCATTTGGGTTAGGCAGTGGAGTTACAAATGGTCTGTTTTTGAAACATTCAAAATCTTCAGGAACGCTGGACTCTTTTCTGAATTTATCTGGTCCTCTTTTCTCTCATTTCCATCTTATCGCTTTCAAAGCATTATTTGCTGGTATTTTTCTACAGAATTTTCCTTTTCTGCCGTGCTTTGAGCTTAGTTTAGGGGTTTTACTCCAAATTGTCTGAATTGATCAAGAAATCAGTGTTTTCAAATTTGGTTGATTCATTTTCCCATTACATTAAAGCAAGTAGAAATTTTATCATTAAATATCTCTATGTTCAGTATGTCTGTTTTAGGAGGGGTATTTTCTGTCACCTTTGATTTAGACTGCTTCTGAGGAACCTTTTGAAATTCTGAAAAAAAAGTAGTTATATGACAAATAAGTCTAAAAAATTCATTGATTAAACGTGGGACAGTAATGAAACAGTTTTCCCTCCAATTTCCTTAACTGAAAAAGGTCGTATTTTTCAGTCTGAATTTTGAAAACTTTTCATAGTCATTGAAAGGTTGGCTGTGAAAATTGTGCGTTTACGTTGCCATTATGGTTGTTCATTTTCCATTTTTGGTGCTTGTTAACTCAAGATTTCAATTTTTTATCTTAGGATTCACGCTGTTTGGTGCCCCGCAACGGCAGAAGCAATCACAACAACACCAGTCTGTAGAGCAACAAAAATGTTCATCAGATAGCGGTCTGTCGAGTAGCGAATTCGAACATGCGAATGACATGTTGAATAGCGAGTTTCCGTAAGCCTTTAGGTGTTTATCATATAGTCGCATTCTTTCTCTAATAACCAGTGGTTTTCTTTTGAATTTCGAAGGTCCCAAAACTTTTTGTCATCATTGTTTTCGAGTTTTTTTCATTTTCCAAGGGATTCACTTCCAAAGAAATAATACAGTAGTTTTATTTGAAAGTTTTACAAATGCAATAATTCGACAGCTGATTTTTGTTTAATTACTTTTTAAAGACAGTTTCCCTCTTACCCACCTAACACACTTCTTTCGTACTTATTTTTGAGGATGGGATGCTATTCTTTAGTCACAAAGGCATTAGATGCGTTTTCTAGTTCGTTCTTATAGACATGTTCAAGAAGGAGCACATTATATAGCATAAAACTCCATTATTTTATTAGAAAAAGTTTTATGACATCCTCCACGGCTTTCAGCTCCAAATTACACCTTCTTTGGGATGCCCCACAGGTGACGGTTTTTTCTTTCTATCGTACAACAACACTGTTTGTTGAAAATTAGCCGAATTTAGGATGAAAAACCACTGGACCATTAATCACTGTTAAAAAAAATAATTCTTTGGAAAATTCACTTGGGGAAAAATTCAGAACCAGTTTATTACGCACAATCTAAACAAGCGAACAAAAAAAAAAGCGAAATTTGATTCGGCCTGACGCAAAAAGCAAAAAGTTTATTCTATTTCGTTAATATTGGTGCGATTTTAACACTTTTTCTTGCTTTTCACCATATTTTAATCTTTGCAGTCGTGGAAAAAATTTATCCACTATCTGCGGAATAAGCAGTTTTAGAGGATCAAAGTTTTTCGCATGTTGCAAGAGAAAATAAAACAATATTACTCTTTTTTTTGCGGAAAGTTCCCGTCAACATTTGCAAAATGCCAAAAAAACAGAAATAAAAATAAAACTAGCGTTGTGGAAGGAGACAGGGGGAAACGACGGGTTTGCATATTTGGCTTTGGGTCGGTGGGGATTCGCGATGTAGGAGAGTAAGCGGAAAGCTCGCAGCGGCGGTGGTACCAATACGTACCCGTTGATTCATTTGATTTTCTTTTTTCACCATGGTGCTGTAGCGACAGAGTGTGACGATTTTTGATGCTCGCCTAGCAAGGCACTCTTCCTCAGATGCGCTTTTTTGTTTGCATTTGCTCCTCTTTACACCAACGGGCAGCAGCTCAAGCGAGGTGCAAGCCTAGTGCCGTTATTGGCGATAATGATAATGATAATGATGATGATGGTGTTGACAATACTGGCGGTGATGGGCCGATACTGATGCTAGTGCCATTACTAGTGTAACTGCTGTTGCTTTTTTTCCCACTGAAGGTGAAGGTGGCCTTTTCGCTATTATCTACGCTGCTAAGGTTTTCTGCACTTCTAAAATCGATGAATCGCCCTCGCATTGTGTAAAATATAAGAATTTTCCTGCTTTGAGTGAGGAAGGTGAATTTCTACCTAAACTTGTTGCAGGGGAGTTGAAAACTGCTGTTAAAGTAGCTTGTGATCACTTATTGTCACCCTCGCTGGTTTCGTTTTATGACTTGCAGTGCTTTGGTTCAAATGCTACTGTTTTTAATTTGTGGTTAATCGAAAAAGAGAGAAGCAGCAATAAGTTTTTTATGTTGGGTTGATCAATTGTTTCTATGGTTGCTCTCTTTAAGACAGCAATCAGTGGCGATGTTGGTTGAAGCCGCGAAGAGAAAAGAGAAAAGGCCTTTTATGAGTTCAAATAACTGGAAGCTGAGAATATATAGCTGAGTAAAGAGTGAGAGTAATAATTTGTTTACGTTTTCTCTTTCCTCGTCATTCTTACAGTAGCTCATTCGTGTTAGATTTTGTAAATCTTTGCCATTTTGACGTTGAGTTGCTGCTTTGGTGACGTCTTGATGTGTTTATTACAAATTTACTTTTACTTGGTATTTCTCTTATACCATTGTTTTTGTTGTTTTATTCTTTCTTTCCTTCCACTTTTTCCTGAGGATGACCAGTAGAGTTGATATTACAACAAGCTTCAGGAGATTTGTCGCTTGGACTTTCTTCTTCCGCAATGGAGAGGGAAAGATGGGACAGCGGAACTGTATTGTTGAAGCATTCATTGGTGGTACAGGAAAGTCATACAATTGCGTTTAGTAACTTTGATGTTTTTTTAAGGTTTTATAAAGAAGTAAGCAGAAGGAGAAAATTATATGAATATCTAGCTGTTTATTATTAATTTGTGTCGAAAGTTTCTCTTTTTCGGGCTCATTGGTTGTTTCGTCAATGGACGCAAATTAGCCATTTTTTTATCTGCATCACCCACTTGAATGTACACGTCATTTAAAGATAAACTTTTTAATATTATTTTTTTGTACCTGTTTTGGTACGTATATGTGGCTAGTATATATCAGCAATATTATAAATGAGTTTTCCGTAGTTCTAAGATTCCTGTGTTTGGATGCCTTACTTGAAACGTGAAGTGATTTCTTATGGACTGGCAGGTTTTTTATGGAAGGTTTGGTTTTTTGAAATTATTAGAAACTTATCAAGATCTAAATAAACATTTAGGAATTAGTAATATCTGTTCTCGTACATAAGTATAAACAAATAAGTAAATGAATAATTAATTTTATTTATTTTTTTATTTTCACCTTTTTTTTTTTTTGCTTAAATAAGAAAAGGAACTGTAGCTGGTGATCTGTGAAATGAGATGGAGGAAGAATTTTAAACATGCGCAGTATGGTAGGATCTAATTGGCTGGCTATTTGTACGTAATCGTTGTAGAGTTTGATTAATTGAGAAAATGGAAAGGTTTTTTATTACTATTATCCAGGTTTCATGATTGGTTTTCATTGAATTTTAAAAAAGGTAAATGAGGGAGGAATAAGGAGAAAAGAAACAAGGATAGGGCTTTCTATATAAATTTATGTTTTGATTAATTTGTTGCAAAAAAGCCTTGGTCGGACATGTTGAACATAATTAGCGCGGATACGCAGAAATACACAGCAAGAGTGCAGATATTCAACAGTTTGATAGCCGTTTTTTCATTGCCATTGTTATCGACTTCCTCTTCATTCTACATCCAGTTGTCCTTCGATTTCTCCAGAAAATCCCATTTCTTCTTTTATCATTCAGTATTTGTTACTTTTGGTCATTAACTTTAGCGTTAATAGTTACACTTTGATACCTTTAGCTGTTGAACAAATTTTAGCTGTTCACTTTTCTGAACAATTGTCGTTCAATATGTCACATACTGCGATTTAATTTTTTCCTTTTATCATTTTTAAAATGAAATCTTTCTTTAGGCATCGAAAATACAGGAATCTGTTGTTTAGAGTGCTTCAATACGTCTTTTCTTCAATTTCTTTTTATTTCTGAAAAAAAGAAAATGCGTTTTATTTTTTTTTAAAGAGTGGAGGGGGGGGGTGAAATTGCCTAAATGCGTTTATTCTTTTTGGCAAATGTTATAATTATGTTTTGCAGTATATTTCTTTTCTGGAGTTGATGACGAAAACAGGCAGTGACTGTCCCTGGATTGGGCCAGTATATTTTCGTGAACTGTAAGAGCTGTTTTGCTTCTCATAATTTTTTTGCTGTTCTATTTTTCAGCTTTTGCTTCTTGCCTGAGCAGTCCGTTTTGGCTATTAAAGTTTTATATTGGTTGCTAGAAAAGGAAAGAAACTGGGAGGAAAGTGAGGTGCGTGTGGACTTAAATGTATACAGTTGCTTTTGTTTAGTTGGATTTCTATTATTTAAATGTAGAAGTGATCAATAAAGACGGTAAAGTACTGTTTGCTGCTGTTGACAGTTGTGATGGTGAAGTGGTGTCATGTTTTGCAGTGATTCATTTGATACTGATTATAAAATTATAATTTTTAAAACTCTACCATGTTTAAAGTTCTAGGGTAACAGCTGTAGGCACTCTAATATTAATAAGTTTCAATAGTAAAATAAAGACCAAAAAAAAAACTAATGAAGATCCCAGAGGAAATACTAGAAATTGCTGCTGTAAGTAAAAAAGCAGTCATAATTTTTTGCATTTTCGGAACGGTTTTGCCAGGAATCTTAGGAGTCCTAGGAACATTTCTATGAGAAGTTCTTTTGTTCTAAATTAAGCAAGAGGAAAAGTTGGAATTTTACTTTTATTTTCGGTTTTATTCATACTTTTTTTTTGAATAGAGAAAAGGAGTGATTGTGGAAACGGGAAAAAAAATGGAAAGGAGAAACAAGAATCTCTTCATTTAGATTTAAAAGATTTCAGCACTTCTCAGTGATTTCGTCAACCTTTTTTCACTAAAATCTTTAGTTTTACAGGCTTCAGAGTCTTGCTTTTGCGTATTCGCTACTGGTGCAAAAGCAGGATGAAAAA